TTTCTAGCATTTCAAAACACAGCATACACGAGTCAAACAGGTTCTAATGCCAACTTTCATGAAGCAGAATCACTAGCATAATATAGAATACTCTTTTTTCTCCGAAGAATTGACACATTGTGGCTAATAAACTCCAGATAAGTGGAAAAGTGCACCAATATAATATTTTTAGCAATATGCTACGTTATTTAACATGCACTAACAACTTATGGACAGGATACATGGTTGTTACAGATAACAAAAAATGCTTTCATAAATGAAAGCAGACTGCCAGAATCTAAAATTAAAAGCTCTGGAGCCAAAGCAGATGAATGAACTTGCAAAAGCTTAAATTCTTATAATGAGATTTGATGACAATTAAGCATGAGAAGTATCAATTAATGAATTAACAGATTTGATTCATTTGGCAAAAACACTATACTAAAATTACTTTAATCTCAACTTTTCAAGGAACTATTAAGCATTAGTAGAACTGAAATCAAGCAAGTAGAAAAATAATATACTCTGGTGTACATTTGACTTCAATGCTTTAAAAGATTCGATTAGGACCCTTGCTAGAAAATAAAATTCCAGGAGAATTCAAATGTAAAAAAAAAAAAGAGGGTATTCTAAGCAATTGCAATAAAATGGACATTCTGGTTTAGTAGATGCCACTAAATCTTGTCTCTTACAATTTTAAAATTTTAGTCCTTCAACCAATTTAACCTTTCATTTATGGATGAAGTATTAATGATATTTCTGATGATGAACTGTTAAATTAATCAAATGGAAAGAGTAAAACAGCTCTTGTAGGTTCCATTGTTTAGATTTTATCTTTTCATAATATGCACGTGCCTTTACATGGTAGTTTATTATTTTCCCACAATAGGCACAGTTGCGTAGCCCACATATTAATTCTTTGCTTAGTTCTTTATTTAAGTATTCTTCAGAAGATAAAAAGTTTCAAAGTAAATAAATTGAGTAACAATTCTATGTATGATATGAGATCCAAGATATGCATATCCACTTCAAAACAAGGAAAATAGGCACACTGCTTTCTCGCCCAGAAGTTGAATGGTGTTAACTGCATTTGCTTCAAATAGTGCAACATCAGGCTGTGTTTAAACACTCAAAGGACTGACACCAAAATTTGGCAAGAGATTAATGAAATCTAGGTAGAAAGTTGAACCGCAACAAACAATAATTTAACCATGTTATATTAAGAAAAATGAAAATTCAGGCTATGGGCATGCATAAAACAGAAAGCTCAGGACCTATTGTCACCACATGAATGACTTAACAATGTTGAACCTCAAAAATAATTTCTTAATATTTGTAAATATGAAAGATAAAAATTACTAAAGCAAAAAAAAAAAAAAAAAGAGGGAATATTCCTTTCCCTGGGAAATTTATAAAATGGTCCTCTGTCCAAAAAGTAATTTAAGATGTAATACCTGTAATATTACGGCTTGAAGGATATGATGCAAGCTCAGTAGAAATCCCATTGACATCTATTAATCCAGTTTTACATGTCGAAACTTCTATCTGTGCCATCCGTGATCTCTTAGTGCACCCACTGTTATTTCTTGCTATTTTTCCTGATTTTCGTAATAAAAGTTTATCTTCTTCCTCTTCCTCTGGCTCTGGCTCTGGCTTCGGCTTCAATGAAAGAGAAGTTATGTTCCTAAACCCACAGTCTTTCAGGGTGTCATCATTGGGAAAGCTTGAAATTGGGCTGGCCTGCCTATGAAGTTCAGAATCAGGCATCATCGTCCATGGAACTGGTGAAGAGGCACTAACTGCACGAATTTCATTGACATTATCATATTATGAAAAACTATGAATTACAAACATTAGTGTGCAATCATATGTGGATTTGTAAGTTTTGGAATGCTTACCTATATTGCTTCCACGAAAACAACGCGTTCAAAGAAATGCACTACAGAATTTTCATTTTAATTTCCACATACTAAAAAGTAATAGAGGCAATTTCTATATCAATATCTTAAGATGTGAAAATCAAGAGAACCAAAATGAAAGGAAAGGGATGGAAAAAGAATTAAGATGAGCTACAGCATGGTCCCCAGTGGATATTGTCAAACAATTCAGGACAGACAATAATTGGCATTTAAAGGTGTATAAGCCACCCAAAAACCTAAATACAACCCATTTTACTCTTACAAAAATGAAATTATTTAAGCCAAATCTTGAAGGAAATGAGGCTTTCCCCACTACAATTTTTATTAATAATTCTGTAGTTGAAGTTCCAAGAAGAGGGATTATGAATGAACAAAATAGTACTAAGATAATACTGACTTCGGAAAACAGAAAAAGTCAACAGCATATTGCTCATGCATATCTTCATGTCTTCTGGTCACAATTTTCACATCATAGAAGCTAGAGCATCCCAACATTACGGAAGATGAAGCTCATAAAAAGAAGAAAGATAAAAGGTGGAAGGACTTATGTCCTAAGTCTCGGTTCCAAATGTAATATTAACGTAACAAACAACATAAAGTGCATGACAAAAAAGGTTATTCTATTTCAGCTCTTATCACTTGTCCTTAGCTCCCAAATTTTTAAATCCGTAATAGTTTCTCTATCAAAACATCCACAAAGTTAAAACCTTGCCATACTAATACATATATGTGAATACCATCTTCAAGCAACTTTCTCGGTGCCTATATAACCATTAGCATGACTAAATTCTACACTCCAACGCTCGTATTCAGTTTCTTCAATGATAAACTTACAATAAAAGTACCATATCATAATCACGAGCCGATGTTCAAACCACTAGTCTAAAGAAAAACTAAGAAATGCTATAACTATTTTCAAATGTTATGCTCGGCGAATCATCCAATGTCTCATTAATTAGGGAATAATATTCGAAACAATAAATGGAGATACAAAATAGAACGTTGCAATCAATTTAAAACATTAATTAGCAAGGTAAAACGAAATCCTTTGTCGAGCAGCATTCACTACAAGCACAAGTACAGCAGAAGAACCGTTTTTTTTTTTTAAATTTAAAACATTAATTAGCAAGGTAAAACGAAATCCTTTTCGAAGCAGCTTTACTACAAGCACAAGTACAGCAGAAAAACCGTTTTTTTTTTTTTAAAGAAATAAATAATAAGGAAAAAGAAAAGAAAAGATAAAAAATAATGGGAAAATTATAATATTTATTAAACTGAAAAAATAACGGGAATACCTGAACTTAAAAAGCAATCTTCTAGAAACACAAAAAGAATAAAAAATTATAATAATCATACTAGAGAAAAACCAAAAGGAAGAAAAAGGAACTAAGTACTAGACAATACACCAGAAAACAAATTTAATTATGACAATAAATAAAACCCAATACTTCTAATACTCTAAAAAATCGAAAACTTAATTAGAAAGCAACCACCTTTTCGAACCCCAAAACTGCTAGCAGCATCCGGTTGCAGACCCTCAGCTTCGTCCACCACAACACCGCTGGCACCACCAAAACCCTCAACCGATCCCATGAGCTTTGCCACCGCCGTCGGCTGAACCACCTTGACTGCTTCTTCCATTTACCGCAGATAATACCACCGCGCAAACCCCGTACACATATTAAAGCAAAAAATTATCACTAATTTCATCTCAACTATATACAAAAAAAAAAAAAAAAAAAAAAAAACCAAAAATTTAAAAATTCAAAAAAAAAAAAAAAAAAAAAACCCAAAATTTCAACAATTCATATCAAAATTCAGCTGAGTTCAAATGATTGTGCTGGGTGGGCTGAAATGACGTAATAGCCACGGGTACGGGGGAGATTGATGTGGATCCAAGGGATAAATCGGGGAATTCGGGTGGCTGCGGCTGAGGAGAGAGAGTCTAGGGCAAAAAATTGAGGGGTCAGAATGGGAGAGTATTTATACCTTACGGGAAAAGAAGAAAACGAGTTGGCTGGGTTACAGAAACAGGAGGTCACCCAACTTTTACTGAAAGTTCATTTTAGCCACTTAACTTTTTCATTCTAAAATCATAATCTCAAAGTTAAAATTTAATATTTCCTCCGTCCCAATTATATAGACTTTTTCGTTTTTCACGCGAATTAAGAAATCTTGTTTAATGTCAGTGGAAAATTAATTTTTGTCAAGATATTTCCTAATTTACTCCTATTTAATTTTCAGTATATAGTAGTAAATTATTGTTGTAATTAATAAATAATTTGAAAGATTTAAGTTGAAGAAGAAGAAATTAGAGTTGTTCCATGTTTCCAAGAAGTGAGAAAAGCGTGTGTATTTAAATGATTTCAAAAAGTTGACATATTAAGTGAGAAAATTTGAATAATGATATATTGGTAAAGGAACAAAATAAAATATTCTAAATTATGAAAGAGGCCTATATATTTGGGACAAGAAAAAAATGAAACTCAGCCTATATATTAGGACGGAGTGAGTATTAATTTTAACTATACATTAACCATTATTACCCATTTATTATCGCATATTTTGTAGGGCCTAATAATCTTTTCATTATAATCACATTATTATTTTCCAAGACAAGACTTAAGTTTCGATTTCGTCAAATGTCATTTCCCATGAAGAGTTTCATAGTCGACCCCTTTTGACATTATTTTGCAAGTGGGTTGTATTATAATGCAATCTAACCTTGTTAATACGAAATTCGTGATGTTGAAATGATATTGTGACATAATAACTTATTATCAGTTATATCAGCACAACACTCATCAATTAGAAAGATGTGATTATTGCATAGTTAGACAAATTACGAGTCTTGTTCTCATTTTATTATACATGTGACAAGGCCCTTGTGTCAAATAAAAAGGATATTAGGTTTTTAGTGACGGAATCTTTATTAGCCCTTATTTAAGCCCCATTCTTGTCAAAAATATGCATTTTTAAATAGGTCTCGTTTGAGCCACATTAATGTAATAATGAGAATAAAAAAATATAGCTGCTACGAGCCCCACACAAGAAATAGAACATTAAATATAGTGGTTTAATATGATAAATAAAAATCATATTTTTCATTTTAAAGGGCAAATAATGAAAAACAAATAGGGGCTATAGTATATTGATGGGAAATTGTGATTAAAAATAAAGAAAAGTTTTAAATTTACATGTAATATTATTTTAATGAAAAATGTATAATTAAAATGAGGTTAAGTCATTGTTGAAAAATGTATTTTCGTGAAAATAAAGGTGCTCAAACAAGGGTTTAGTGACAAAATTTGTATGAAATTGAACTTTTCAGCGATGAATTTGAATTTGAATTTGAATTTGAATTTGAAAAATAATTAAACTGAGACTTTGCTCAAAGTTTGGTAGCCAACGATGATTTTTACCCTTTAGAGTCATCGATGGGGTATATTCCAGTGTGGGTGGCTACCATGATCCTTTTGAATTTTTAGCCCACATTGATTTATCCATATTGAGCTACTTTCACCTACGATAACCCTTGGGTAGGTTTGTAAGCAAAAATCGTCAAATCGAAAATCGCATTTTAGAAACCGTCGATTTGGTGCTATGTGGACTCGATCAACGAAATAGTTTTGAATCAAACCAAATCGGTCAAAATAGTTTGGTTTAGGTTTGAGAATTTTAATTGCAGATTAAAATCAAACCGGACCAACGAAAAAATATATAAAAATAAAAAATTGAAAAATTGAAATTTTTAGAAAATTCATCCAAATATGTAAAATTCAATAGTTTTGTCATTTGTGGGTATTTTTCTCAATTTCTAATTTTCTAATACAGATATATTATTATTATCTAATAAACCTAATTTACATATAATAATCTCAAGACTAACATAATCTATCAAAAACTCTTTTCCTCTTCAAAATTTAGATGAACTCCAATTGACACTCAACACAATCTTGAGCCACCAGCACCCACACTTCTTTTTTAGATTTTTCACATCTCTTCAAAATTGAATTGAAATTCATTATACCAAATCGGAGACAAAGAGATCCTAGACTTTCAATGATAATATTTGCTACGAATAAAATTTCAGATAAATAATTTTTTTGGAGCAAACTAAGGTAAGAAAATGAAATTAAATGCGTTTCATAATATCATACAAACATAAATTTGTATAATTGTTATATTTAGATATTATAAACAATTACTTTATTATTGTGGTTAGTTATTCTTTTTGTCTAATCAGTATCTTTTTTTTCAAATATGATGATCACGAAGTCTTGTTGGACATCATTATATTTTTTGGGCCTTACATCTAGTTTAGTAGATTTGTATTGTAACGTTATTGTATCATCACTAGCCTAAAAAATGTGAACAAAAATGAAAAAAAAAAAACTATGTTTTAATTTATTGTAATTCACTTTGATTTAGTTAGTATTTAAATTTATAGTAAATATATTTAGCCCTCTATTTAAGCCATATTTTCCATATAATCATAATGAGAAAATTGATCATTGAAGAGGAGGTTGGGTCCCACACATGAAACAGCAGGTTAACAAAGGTTCAAATTTTCATTTTTTTGTGGGATAACGTCCAAATTTTCATTTTTTTGTCCCAAAAATTTGGTTCAAATATGGGCTTAATTTGTTTCAGATTTATTGCTTATAAAATATAAATATATATTGAATTCAATGAATTAATGACAGAAAAAATATATGGTGAAATCGGAGGTTTAAAATCAGACCAAATCGTTATATTTATGTTTGAATTTTTTTCCAAATCGTTCAAAATGGTTTGGTTTAGATTTGAGTTTTTCTTAAATCGATTTAAACAGTTTGATTTGAAAATTTGTCAAAAATCTGTAAAATCGGATCGCTTACACCTCTACCATTGACGAAGTTCGTGGATACAGAAATTGAAAATCCACCACGTGTTAAGGTGATATGTCAATGGATTGAAGTCTTCCTTGAGGTCTAGTAATGAAAACAGAAAATGGAGTACTGTATGGATACTCAAGGCAATGAATTGACTTTAATACCCCACTTTAGAGTGAGTTCATATATAGCGATTGATATGAGATCCTAGAATGCCTTTGGCAAACCTTTAAATAATGGATAATTTTTATTAACTTATCCAATACATGATTAGAAGTAATTACTTTAATAAAATTAATACAGTGGGCTAATGCTAGAAAAACAAATCAATAATGTCAATTAATCAAGGATTTAATGCAAAAATAATAAATTATATATTGTGTTGACTTGTAAAATGACATTCATCTATCTGTTGATATAAATATGTTATCTTAGCAAGATCTCGTGCAATGTAGAGTGAGAGGATAATAGACAATATTACTTTTTATCTGTCGACTTTTATTGTAAATGTGATATAACAGAGTCGGACTTGATTTTAGGATAAGATGCATATTTGTTTGACCAATTTTACAAGTTGTAAGGTCTACCCCTACTCATAGTATCTTTCGATTAGCCGAGTGACAACCTCTAAAGTCTTTTTAACCACATCTTCAGCTATCACAATTTCTCCGACAGTGATTTCCATGTTTCTTTCTTTTCGTTTTTTCCTCTTTTTTTTTTTTTTTGATGTTTTTTATTTTTTTTCCGCTTTGCTTTAAACTTTACTTTTCCTTGCAAAAGTGTACTTGGGATCCAAATAAGTCTCCAAGATACAATGTAATCAATGAAGATGTTTGTTGACGTTTATGCATCAACAACAATAAATCGAACACAGAGATGAATTGAATGTATATGAGATTTTATTTTTTATTTTTTTCTTAACAACTTCTCATTAGATTCTAAGGCATGGGATGCCGCTTTGCTTTAAACTTTACTTTTCCTTACAAAAGAGTGTACATGGGATCCATCTAAGTCTTCAAGCTACAATGTAATCAATGAAGATGTTTGATGAAGTTTATGCATTAACAACAATAAATCGAACACATAGATGAATGGAATGTATACGAGAATTTTTTATTTTTATTTTTTTTTTGTTTTACAGTATACTGGACACAAAGAATGATTTTGAAGAAAATAATTCTCAAAACATCAAGTGCAAAAAATTAGTAGAAGAAGAAGAATGCAAGATTTTCATATCTCACTAAAATGAAAACATCAATCTCTCTATATTAACTTTGAGTTGTCACAATCATCACCCTTTATCCATGCTATCTCATTTAACAAGTTATGGATGGTTATTTCTCGTGTCCGTGTATATGCACGTACATGCACATGCACATGGATGATACAGTATATCTCGTAATTCATTTAGAATTATACTAACATATGAAAAATATCTTACTGCAAATCCATTTACATAGGTAAGAGTATCTCCAATTGCAGTGTAAAATATGGTGTAAATTGACATCTCCAATATTATTTTTACATCTTCATTTACATCACAAGAATCTAAATTCAAATTTTCCTCTAATGAGAATATCTAAAACCACTTTTTGCCTCTTTTGGATATTTGTCAAAAAATGAAATTTGCATTTCCTTTGCATATCTTTATTTGAGAGATTTTTGATAAATTTGGAGATCTAAATCAGGGACGGACCCAAGGGGGATCCCATAGGGTTTCCCTTGACCCTCCAGCTTTAAAAAAATAAAAATAAAATTGTTTTTTTCATAGTACATGCACATGCACATGGATGATACAATATATCTCCTAATTCATTTAGAATCATACTAACATATGAAAAATATCTTACTGCAAATCCATTTACATAAGTAAGAGTATCTCCAATTTTGGTGTAAAATATGGTGTAAATTGATATCTCCAATATTGTTTTTACATCTTCATTTACATCACAAGAATCTAAATTCAAATTTTGCTCTAATAGGAATATCTAAAACCACTTTTTGCATCTTTTGGATATTTGTCAAAAAATGAAATTTGCATTTCCTTTGCATATCTTTATTTGAGAGATTTTCGATAAATTTGGATATCTGAATCAGG